CTTCTATTTTGACAACTCATCACCCAACTCATTGTATTTTCATTTTCTTTTTAATGAAAAAGTTGATAGTATATATATATATATATTCACAATTTTAAATGTTGACGGTAGAATTTAAACTTTCAAAAGAATAAAGACATAATTGAAGCTTAAAGGGTATTTTGTATAGTTTAACCTTTAATGAGCAATCATCTCAAGTGCTTAAACTACAAAAGTATCTATGGATTTAAAATAACTTTTTGGATAATAAATTCTCAAATGTTTATTCAAAAATAGATTTAAAGCAATTTTAGTTTTTAAAAATATTCTTTTATTTGTTACCAAACGTTGTGTATTTTTTAGAAAACACTTTTAGTTATCTTACACCACTTGTAAAACTATACTAAACATATTCTAAATAGTTAAGATAAGCATAATTTTGCAGTAGTTGACATATCTCAAATTAATAGGTTGTTAGTTCGATCCTTCAATCCGACATGTTGTACTAAAAAAAAACACATTCTAAATAAGTAATTTTATCAAAGGTGCTCGTAGAAAAATTGGTTTTTATTTAAAGAATAGTTTTTTCAAAGAGCATCTATCCGATTGTATACCCATCCATATAAATTGAAGATTAAAATATTATTTTAGTTTTGTACTTTGAGACTTGGCTATTGTTGTACTTTCATTAAATTTTAAAATGAGTTCCCGCCATTAGTTTGTAGTTTTTTTTAAAAAAATTAAATTCTCTCTATTAGCTTTCAATATAAAAATTTAAGAAACATATTTACATTGTTCCTTTTCTTAAATAAAAATTATTATTATTATTTTACGAGTTAGATAAAAATTAACTTACAAACAAACGATGAGGACTAATTTTAAGATTTATTATAAATATAGAAACCAAAATAATATTCTAAGTTAAATTGGAATACCAATTACATTTTGAATGTATAAGAATTTTAACTGACCAAAATGTTAACAAGTTGGCATAGAGACTGGGAGTAGTTGGTTTCTTTTGCAGTTGTGCCACAGGGATCATGGTCTAAACTGAAATGTTCTTTTGCACAAACTGTTGTTTCGTGCCTCTCTAGCTCCATGTATACTTTTTTCTCTAATAATCGGTAGTCGGAGTTTTGCTTCCCTATACCCAGGGGTACCAGTACTTGCCAGGGTACCCGCCAGTTTCCTGCCTCTGTAGCTCCATATATACTTTTTTCCTCTAATAATTAGAAGTCGGAATTTTGCTTCCCTATACCTAGGGGTACCTATACCTACCCTAAGATCCAAACCTAAGAGACGTAAAAAGTTTTTGGTATTAAACTCATCCGAACTTGAGAGACCTCTAAACCAGATGATCAAGAGATCTCAAACCTTTGCCAACGGGAGGCTTGATAGCTCCTGCACAATATACACAGAAGCACTTCCAACAGGAAAAAAAATTCTAATTGATCCAGAGAAGCAGTTGAAATATAATAGCAGTAGAATATCACTGAGATTTTCTATTTAAAATATTACACTTCCACCACAGGATTCCAATAAAAAAACTTGATGCTCCAGCTATTCTCTGTCCACAATTCAGTCTCAAATTTGCAAGAAAATTTATCTCACTCATCTCAAGCCTAATGATACATATGTGAGGGTCTGCTTGGGGCCTATATTTTAATGGTGATGCAAGAGGATTAAAAAAAAAAAGAAAGAAGGAAAAAATAAATACACTTTCCAGGATTTTTTTTTTTTTTTTAATTTTTTTTTGTTACAAGCATGTAACAGAAACCTAAGACTAACTAACAGCTGCTGTTTTGATACACAATCTTGATAATAAATATATCACTCTTCCAAACACATCCATAACCTTTTGCTTACCGAAACCGCTTTACTTTGTTGCTCTGAATTAAGCAACCAGAGAAACAAAATCAGTTTTATGAGCTGCTGTGCTGAAGGGGCTGCGAGGGACAGGTATCCTCGTTAGCTGGTGTCGCGTTCAGGATCTTCCTAAGAGAGCGATACTGCAACCGAACATTCTCTCCTGTCCCAATGATCTTTAGCAAGTACCTGAAGGTTAAGGGAGAATATAAATTATAATTGCAATGTCCCCCAACTTCAGATGCAATTGTTCAGTCAACACTCAAGTAATAGATGAATGAAAATTTAACACTACTTAGCTGTAATTAATTTCTAATTACTATAATACAGCTTTTGACCCATGTATTTACCAACTCAAACAAGCACTGGACTGAACATATCCGGCTCCGTATCTTACATTAACCAGCTAACGGTGGGTAAGCAGATAGGCAATGAATATTGAACTTGGATCAATCAACTGATCTTCTCTATTGTGTTCGAAAAACATAAATCATTTATATCTTAGATGAAGCACTTGCACCCATTTGAATATGGATCAAATCAAGATATCTAATAGTTGGACCCAGAGTAAAATTGCCATATTTTCATGCAACATACTGACTCAAGTAGACAACAATGACACCCATGCATTCATAGGCCATATTTGGTAATCATTTTGTTTTTTGTCTTCCGTTTTTAAAAATTAAGCTTATAAACATTACTTCCATCGCTGTATATCTACGTGCTTTTTTTCTTTTGTTATCTACATTTTAGAAACGACTTCAAAGTCTTAAGACAAATTTTGAAAACTAAAAAGAACTCGTTTTTGTTTTTGAAACTTAGCTAAAAACCCAAATGTGTTTTTAAGAATGGTGATAAACATACTAAAATAAATTGTGATGAAACAAACATAATTATTATTATTATTTTTTTTTGATAACTGGAAAGTTGGAGCTTTGATAGGTGTAGAAAAATTATGAAATTATTATCAAAGTAAACTGGACCTTATTGAATAGCAATTAGCATATTTTACTCGTACATTTGTAGAAAAGACAAATACTATTGGACATTGTGGAAAAGAAAATGAGAACAAGCCAATGTCCAAAGAATATGGAGATTAACCTACAAACCCGAAAACATAATGGGAAAACTGATTAGGACCAGATAAAAGGCTACAATGGAGTGACTCAGACATTCAAATGGTCACAACAGAATCATTCAACAAAAACTACAGCCATACCCAGTGTTTCTTATTCACAAACCACACAACAAGCGTGTACATTCAACTAGTACATCGCGTGAAGCAATTTGGAGATGATTGAGGACATTTTATCCTGTACTTCCTTCTCAGAAAAGTTGGAAACTTGTATCCCAATGGAGTATGGGTTTTAGAACCAAAGGCAAAATCAAGGTAATTTTTTCTATGTTGAATTTGGTTATTTTTTTTTGGAATATGAAGAATAATTTTTTAGGATAAGAAATGAGGAAAAGGTGGTCCTTGGTAGAGAATGAATTTTATAGCTGTGTGTGGTCTTCTCTCATGAGAGTGTATCTTTAATTTTTTTTTTTAAGACACCTTAGTGAGCTATCTCGCAGTCTTCTCTGTGAGCTCTTAAGGAAGGGGTGTGCCTAGTCCATGTACCTTTTTTATGTACTGCTTTATTCTTATATTTTTGTATACTTTATCTCTGAAGGAGGGAGGAGGGAGGATGGGTGTTTATGCTATAAAGTCCTACAGAAGTACATGAACTATGACATTGTAGTATGCATACTAACCAGCCATTGAGACACTGGGACGTGATGACTGCTTCCTTCCCGACAAATTTTTCTGGTGTTCTCCTGTTTCCCTAAGATACCAGTATGCTTCTCAAATTATACACTTCATCAAGTGGAATCAAATATAGTCAGCATAAGAACAGAAAGTTGCTCACCTTAATTAAAACCTTTTCATTTACTGTAAAAGGATACTGCACTCCTCGATGGATGCCATCATCAATGGCAATATCACCGTTTTCCTGAAGATAGTTTTACTGGTTCTTTATAAATTGGAAAACCATAACATTAAGCAATGACTTGCATGTAAACACTTGAGGACAACTCATTAAGATTATTTGGAATGCCAAATACACTATGGCTCAAGGAATCATTTTCTTTTCAAGACGCAAATGGACACGTAATTTTAGATTACAATAAAGAACCCAATCAATTGATTTCTAATCCCTTATCTTAGACTGAAACAATTGTGTCTTTATTTTTATAAGGTCATCTCCTCCCAAATACTAGACAAGAAGAGCTTTCCAATCATAATCATAATAAGACTATAATTAAAAAAGAATTTCGTGTGGTTAGAGCATCACCAAGAAGACATGTGCCGTGCACTATAACAAAAAGAATCCACCAAGTACCTTTTATCTTCAAAAAGCCTACAGTTTCATTTCCTTTCTTTCCCGAGCAACCACAACAGAGCACGGACCGCCGAGGTTTGCCTCGTAGAATATTAGTTTTGCCTCTCAGCATCAAACCGCCGAGGTTTTCCGAAATGCAAAAAATATGGTCCACTGATTCTTCTGTTTATAACAGAGGCCACAGATAGAGGGACCAGGAGGACAGGGACCAGTGGGGAAATCTCCTTTGAAGTCTCTAAGTTGTCTTCAGGCTTCTGTAATGCAAAAACCAAAGAAAGAATTTTACTTTCTTGGGGACTTTAAAATTCCATATGTAGTTCACCACCAGGGCATTCCACTTACCATAGAACTACTCGGGAGGGATAAAGCCGATTTTGCAGAATAAAGACCACTTATCTTTGAATCAGTGAAGGGGATCCAACTGATCTTTCCAATATGTGGATAAGGGGCTCATTCCAAGATTTCAAAGGTGAAGCACTGACCCTCTCTCCTATCGTAAAGAAGGGAAAAATACTAAATAATCTCCTTCTCAATATAATTGTCACTGGTGAGGGGATTTCCATCTGTATCTTCTAAAAGCGAGATGAGATTTTTGTTTTTCCGAGAAAAGGTCCATCTATGGAAAAAAGTGATTGGAGTTTTCGTCACCTTCCTTCAACCAAACCTTCCTTCAACCAAACTTTCCTTTTTGGCCCACAACCTTTTCTCCATCATAGTGACAGTCAACTCTGCTTTCGATCTCTTCCATTCACTATAGAGGGCTTTTGGTAATCTACCTTGACCCTCCTTATCTATGCCTTCAATTGCTTCTAAGAGATCTTTGTGAATGTTCATGATGTTACCAAAGACCTCTTTATTCCATCCGGCGAGTACCCCTCTCAAACTCTTCAACTTTTCCATGAAGCCAAAACGTTGACTGATTGACCACCATTGCTCAATCAAAGGGAGCAAAAGAGGAGAATCTAGCCAAACATTCTCGAACCGGAAGGGGGAGTTCCCCATTTCAAACTCCTTGTTTTCAAGAAAATAAAGAATGGTCTGAGGTAGATCAATGTAATCTCTCTACTCTCAAATCTTTAAAGGAATTCACCCAACCACTGAAGGCTAGAAATCTATCGATCTTAGTCAAAATGGGATGCTCTCTGAGATTGGACCAAGTATACAAGCCATTATGAAGGGGCAGATCAAACAATTCAGCAAAACAATCAACGCATTGAAGTTCCTCGTGTTTCGAGTAGTTCTGCCATTTTCACTGCTAGACTTTTCATTTAGCCACCTAACCATGTTGAAGTCTCCTCCTAAGCAATAGGTGGCCGGCAAAGATCATAAAGGTCAGCAGTCAAAAATCTGACCTACACTTAGTCTCCTGCAGACAAACTAWATTTGGATCTAATTTTTGAAGATCTTTGATGAGAGCCTATGTGTGGGAGCGCCCAGCCCTTTGATGTTCCAGGACAAAAGCTTCATAAAGGAACTCGGGGACCCTAATCTACTTCCTTTCCCATTAACTTTGATTTTGCTTCTTTCTCCCATGTCGACAGCCTCTTCAATTCTCTACTCCCCTTTTCTACTAACTGCACTCCTCTCGTAGGTTGATTTACCTTTAGTTGGAATATGCTTGATACACAAATTGTTCTTCCGTAAGGAAACCACCTTTCCTTGTAAAAGTAAAACCTTCTAGAGTGGATGGGTCATCCACTTCCTCCCCGATTCATCATCAGGGTCGACCTATAAAGGATGATCCTCTTGTTAAGGACAATGGTAGCCCAAGTACCCCTAAGTATCTTCACAATGATATGATATTGTTCGCTATGAGCATAACCCTCACGGCTTTGCTTTTGAGGCCTCGTACTAATGAAGATAATTGTCTTCATCTAATCTACCCATGATCTTCCCCTTATTTAGCCTCTTATTCAGCTAATGTGGGACTTTGGTTGCATTCCCAACATATCCTCAATGGGGGCTTCTTCTACAACCACTAGCTCTTTCCCTTTAGAGAGCAGAGTTTCCTCAAGCTTTTCTTGGAAGCAAAGGTGGAAGTCTTCAAGAGGGCCAAGCTGGAGACTGGGGTTCATCTGATTTGCAACTACCGGGTCTAGACATGGAAGATTCCAAGGACACCTCAATTTACTTCCCCTTCTCTTTTCGAGATGATTCTCCATTATCTTTTGGCTTTTCCTTACTCATTTTACAAACTAAATCTTTCTTGAAATTTGGGATATTATTTGATCCTTTGACAAAAAAGCCCTTTTTCGATGGTGGGCCTTTTCTGCCAGCATAATTTTCCCTGACAAGACTTTTCTGATTTTTCTGAAACAAGAGACTAAAATTTTCAGTGATGTAATGAGAAAAGAAAGGATAAAAACAAAAGTGAGAAACAAGAGAACAAATCAAAACCACCCAAAATACAAGGGCCAAAACAGAAACTGCAAAGGGGTTAAATGTCAAAGATAAAAGATTCTCAATTTAAACAAATATCAAGAGATTTATAGTCCGATAAGATATTAGAACGAGAACACCACTGTGAAGCTCTTTGCAAAGCCAAATCAAACCTAACCAAAGAGCTACCGAACTTGTTCCGAAAAATTCTATGGTTTCGTTCCAGCCATAATTCTGAAAGAATAGCCTTGACTTTTCTGTATTTAGAGCAGAAAACCTATTCGAAAATAAAATGCATTTTGTTTCCTTAGGAAAGCATGTCTCCTTGGCTGTATTTGACGAATAGGCTCTTTTATCTTTGGTGGGGACTACCCTTCTGTCCCTAGTCAGGGGATTAGGGTTAGGAATTTGAAGACTTGCAGTTGCATCACCTGAGGAGTCAAATATTGTTAGATGCAGAGGGACAACAATCATCATCTTGAGATTGGACAAAGACCATAGGGAAATAAACACCGTCTCTTTTTTGGACAAGAAACAAACTTTTGAACAATAAATACGATCTTGAACTCTCTAGATATCCATTGGGCAAGGACCAAGGACCAAGGACCATCGGCCCTTTGTAAAAACGTTCTATAGCTTCTGGCGAGAAACTATCGTGCGCCGTCACTTTCTGACAAGGTTTGGGTTTTGGACTATTTCAATTTGTGCCATGAAGACTGATCCATTTTCATCTATCTTGATTTTAGTGGGAAGGAATCCACAGTAATTTCCCCTCACCTTAATAGCCACCTCCATACACTCAATCAATGTTGTGTTCTCATTTGTGTAATCAATGAAGCCCCCAAAGCTGTTTCCTATGTCCCTGTCCCTGAATAAGTCCATACGCCATAAATGTAGAGGACTGTTTCTGAACTTCAGCCAGCCAGCCATCATAGGAGGGGACGGCATTTATTTTGTCGTGCTTCTGGATATCCCACTTTTCCAACTTCATAGTAACAGCACGAAAGGCGACCCACACTATATTTATGCTTAGCATCTGAGCAAAATCTTCCAGAGGACACTTTAGGGGGGCCTTATATGGTTGAAAAGGGTTGACGATGGATTGTCTGTAGTTGGTGCTCCACAGTCTCTAGAATGCTTCCCCAATCATCATAAAAATTCCTTCTTGTGATCACCAGCATTTCTTCCCACCTAATCTTTCTAACTTCTTTTCTCAGTAGTGTGGGAGGCTGGGTTGGGGGCACTAGTTTTACCGCTTCTGCATAGGATAATTCTTTTCTATTACTGGAAATCTCCAAGGGTTTGATAGTCTGGTCTTCCCATTTAAGAAGTCCAAGAGGAGTCTAAAGTCTGTGCAACCCTTTATGATACACGTCTGCAGGGACCACTATGTTTATCTTGCCTCTTGAGTTTCAAGACCTTAGTGTTCTCAATGAAACTTCCTCTCTTATTGGTGCTTTTCACCCAAATAAATCCATTAGGACAATGTGTTTTATCAAAAAAACTTGTGCCTGGGGAGAAAGGAGGAAGTCCTAAATAGAATCAGTTAACCAGACAATGACGATTTCTTCCACCATGATGTAAAAATTCATCTAAAGGTGGGCTTCATGAATTTGAACCACTCTCCCTTTGGATCTCTGGTCAAAGCTATCGATAAAGGTCTTAATTTCCATCCTTCTCTATTGCTGATCAGAGGCCATCACAAAGGAAGTCAAAAAAGGACAATAGAGTAACTGACGGAAGCTATGGTGCAGACACCGCCACTCAGTTACAACAGCAGACAACGAGAGTACTTTCTAGATCCACAACTATCAAATAGGGATAAATTTAACTCAAGTTTTTCAGATTGTCAAACTTTAGACATCTTTAATCAAATTACATGTGTACAATCAAGTTCTTGCTAGCTGTAGTAAGGGACCTACCACTTCTAAAAGCCACCTGCCACCAGGTTAATATTGGATCCTTTCAATCCCTATTTCATTTTTAAATTATTAGATTAGTTTTTGGATATATACAAAACCGCCACAATGTTTTTTTCCTGCCATGATATCTCAAACTACAGGTCTATACAGCAATGTTCTTAACTTAACCTAATCCTCAACATGCATAATGGAACATGATTGCAAAATGTACAAACTGTTTACATATTTGCAATTAGATGGAAAGATACAAATGCCGAGCCTTTCATGGCTTCCAAGTCCTTTTAAATCCAATTTCCTGCATGGTACTTCAGAATTAGTTAACCATCTTGGATGGATAATTCATTAGCTAAAAGCTATTCCTCTAATTTGAGGTCACAATATCCTATTTCCCATCAATAAAATTTGACGTATTTTTTCCCTCATTTTATGTTCCTTTTCATCTATCAATGAAAAGTTCATTTCTTCATTCCAAACAAAAAAAATAGTAATAATAATGTTTTTCACAAAAAAATACCCTGTTTAATCTTCTCATTGGATCCACCTGCTCGCCCATTTCCTTCCGACGCTTCCTCAAAGCAGCATTGTGGAATAGCCTTCTATCATCTTCATGCTTCACAGCTGAAGCTGCAGCTCTAAGTGCTGCAAGATGGTATAACACTTGATTAACATTAATTTTTTTAAAAAGGAAATCATTTCTCACAAATATAGAAGAGAATACAAATAACTAGATTGGAAGAAGAAAGGGTGGTCGATTGGTTAATTGATATAAAGGGAAAGCATAAAAGATATAGAAAAAAATAGTGAATTATAGTATATGTTTACTTGTCCTCAAGCACGTAAATTGCAACTTGCAAGATGCTTGATGTTTCTATTCTTGTAACCAGAAATCCCAAATCTCTCACTGTGAACAAGTTTGACACTTTTTTTTTTTTCATGTAAACAATATAATTGATGATATGAAATTTTACAAAAGGGAAACCACGTCCAAAGAATTAGAAAAAATTTTCCAATTGGGTACGAGAGAATTTAAGCTGTAATTACCATCTTCAACACTTTGACTACTATATTTGACCCTTATGAGGTACTTATGAGTTCTTAGATTTGTAATTCAGAAATAATGTTTTACTTTCAAAAAGAATAGCAAAGACAATTTATACAAATAACATGCGTTTGGCTAAATTAAAGTCCAAAAACTGTGATAATATTTTCCATTAGTACACTTGAAGGTTAAGATGTTAAAGAGTCATTTGTATTCTTCATTCCCCCTCTTGAATTATTCTATTCTTAATTCTGTTATGAAGAAAATTTCATAATCAAAACAATAATAATAATAATAATAAATAAGATTACACTCTAAATGTTACTTTATCATATGTCTCTTATCTAAAAAAATAAATAAATGTTACTTTAACTAACGTTTTTTTTAATAAATTTTTTTCAAAGAAGTTTTCAAATAGTCTGTTTACTTTATTTTCATTGTTTTCAGAAACTCATTTTGATTCATCAACTAGACAGGTTGTTCATATGTGTTAAGTGATCTCAAAAGATTTCACACTCAACCATTTGGTTGAATCCAGTTTGTATCATTGTGGTTAATAAAACTTTTAAAAAAAAATTGAAAAATAAAACCTATGAAGCAAAAACTAAGGGTATTCACGGATTAGGGTGATTTATCCCAATTGACCTTCAAATCAAAGAGTCATTCAAAAGCTTTGATGAACAAATTTGTCTATTCAAACTTATTTCTGTAATTGTTTTTGTTATGTTCATGTCTAATTTGTTTTATGTTTTTGTTGTCTTCTTAATTATAGAAATTCTAATCTAAATTTGATTTCTCTCATGGATGAGGAAGGTCATTTAGGCTGGATTTTGGATCCTTTATATTCTCGGTAAAATCTTTATGTAAGCCTAATGGCTCTTCATCCAGGATTACTGTGCAGCTCTGTGGAAATCAAAAAGTCCAAAGAAGGTTAATATTCTTGTATAGATTCTTCTCAATGGCAACATTAATACAACAGAAGTTCTCTGGAAGAAGCTTCCTTATATGGCCATCAATCCGTCAATTTGTATTCTTTGTACTAATCATTGCGAAAGGTGCATATTTTCTTCCATTGCCCATATGCAGCGATTTGTTGAGGGCTTTTATTTAAGATGTTCAATAATGTCTTGGGTGTTCACAATTCACATTAGAAGTTCGAGAGAATATCTATCTATTGCTGTTTGGTCCACGTTTGCCTTCCAAAGTAAATCTTCTTTGGATTAATGGCATAAACACCCTTCTATAAGAGAGTTTGAATGAAATCAAAGGGTCTTTACAGTAAAAAGCAAATCTCCACTTGAAAGCTTCAGCCTTGCTAAGCTTGAAGCTTCTGAATGGTGTGCTCTCTCCTATTTATTTGCAAATTACTCTCCAAATATGATTTATTCCAATTGGGAGGCATTTATAACTCCCCTTAGATTTCATCTCCTGCATCATTTCTTGGTTGTATTTCCTTTTGTTGTTGTTTAGGTCTTATTATTATTGCTCTCTCACTCCTTCTAGGGTTTGTATCTTTGAAAATTTTGTTTATTTTCATACATCAATGAAAAGTTCGTTTCTTGTTAAAAAAAAAGGCAAAAAAGATAAAATTGATTTTTTTCCTATACAACACTGAATTATTTATTTGATCTTAATTATTTTTGGTAGACTTCTTTTATAAGACTAAAGATCGTAAAAGGTAAATGATTTCTTCAATTTCTCATTGGTTTTTCTAAGATTTGGGGTGACCAAAATGGTCCCTATTCCAATCGAAAGCTTAAAGATGAAGCCCAGTTTCTTTTTTCAAATATCATTTTATTTTTATGTTTTAATATATATATGTGTGTGTGTGTGTGTGTATAGAAACTATGAAATACTACAAGAGGAACCTTATACAAGAAATCACAGTTACAAGAGAGAGAGAGAGAGAGAGAGAGAGGAGGGTTTATGATGCAGAGTTCACAAATGTAATGTTAATGAAGATACCTAAATTAGGAATTGAAGACCTAGCATCAATTTCCGAGTTGCAAATAGTGCACCTTGACTGTCAAGCAAACAAAAGTTTAAGTTACCATTTTTATTTATTAAGACATTTGACATTATAAATCCATTTGAAAGTATAAAATCAAGAATTTATAATCCCATGAGGGTTATGAATTATGATTCATACAAAACTTCAAGTTATAATTCTTAATTGACATTTGAAATGCATTTGACATTATAAAATAAAAAAATCATAGATCGAGGCATATGCTAAGCAATCAATTTATTGACCATGATACAATAATTAAACACTTGGTATTGCTTTCAAATTTATTTGCAATGGTTCTCGCTTACAAAATTATTTACAAATTACATCTTGTAGCTCCATTGCCTTTCTTGGGATGCTTTTATTTCTCTTTAGTTTCATTATTTTTGTTACTTTTGTGTCTTCTATCCTTTGGGAGGTTGTCTGTACAACTTGTGTTCCTTATCATCCCATCAATCAAAAGTTTATATCTTGTTAAAAGAAAAAAAAACTTCAATTGTGGTATTTGTTACTTTATAAGTACAACTGTTGAATCATGATGTTTCGGTCCAAACCTTAAAGCTTTAGCCAAAACGCTAATTCTTCTTTCCTAATCTACTCTTCCCCTATGCCATTCTTTATCAGTATTAGTTGCTTTTTCTCATTTATTTAAGTTGGTTAGTCTCTAAATTTTTTTTAAAATAATTTTTTTCTTTTGTTTTTTTTTTATAAGAAACAATTTCATAGATTGCATGAAATAAAACAATTTCCCCACTTCCCACTATTGGAGGGCCATCCTCTTCCATATGTTAATCCTCTCATGGAATGTTAGGGGTTTCGGCGCTTGGCAGAAACGTGCCCTCTTTAATTTTTGGTTGACAGGGATCTATGGCCCTTCTAGAACATGTGACAGACCTCTTTTCTGGCAGGAATTAGAAGATCTCCAACATCTCTGTTTAGACAACTGGCTTTTGGGTGGTGATTTCAATGTTTCTCGATGGTCCCATGAGAAATCCAGAGGCGGCACACCAACCAGAAGTATGCGCCGATTCAACTCTTTTATTGAAGCTACCGGTCTGATGGATCTCCCCCTCCAAAACGGTCTATACACTTGGTCCAGCTTCCGTGAGAACCCATCCCATACTCTCATAGACAGATTTTTTACTACAGAATCTGTCTTCGAAAAATTCAGCAACTTATTGGTAAGACACCTCAACAGACCTACCTCTGGCCAGGACATGGATTCATTCAAAAATTAAAGTCTCTCAAACCAGTCATTAAAGCTTGGAACAAAGTGACTTTCGGGCATATAAAAGATCAGCGGACCCAGCTGCAAACTGAACTATCCATTATTGACAATATGGAAGAAACAGCACCTCTACATGAAGTCCAACGCACACAGAGAGCATCCATCAAAGCACATCTTCTATCTTTGGCAGCTAGGGAAGAATTGCAATGGAGGCAAAAATGCAAAACTAGATGGATCATAGAGGGTGACACTAATTCCAGTTTCTTCCGTAGAATCGTGGCCACCAGAAAAAGAAAGAACTCAATTCGAGAGATCCTATCCAAGCAAGGTAATAGTTTATTTACAGAATTAGATATTATTGCCGAGTTTACCTCCTTTTATGAACAGCTCTACACAAAAAAAGGTGGCACTAGATCTCTCCCCCCCATACTATCCTGGGACCCCATTGACGACATGACCAGAGATAATCTGGAAATCAATTTCACTGAACAGGAAGTATTGTTAGCTGTTTGTGATCTGGGTACAAATAAGTTTCCCGGCCCCGACGGTTTTCCAGCGGAATTCTTTGAAAAAATTTTGGAACATTCTTAAGCAAGATATCATGAAAGTGTTCCAAGACTTTTTTAGGAACGGAATCATCAATGCTAGCCTCAATGAAACATACATTTGCCTCATCCCAAAGAAAGTGGATGCCCGTACCGTGGGAGATTATCGTCCGATTAGCCTCACTACTTGTCTATATTAAATTGTGGAAAGGGTTCTTTCTTCTAGACTTAAAAAAGTCCTACCATCCACGATTTCGGAACAGCAATCAGCCTTTGTTGAAGGTCGACAAATCCTTAATGCCTCACTTATTGCAAATGAGAGTATTGATGAATGGAAACAGAAAAGGAAGAGAGGGGTTGTGATAAAGCTAGACATTGAAAAAGCATTTCACAAAGTGGATTGGGATTTCCTAGATGAGATTCTTTGTGCCAAAGGTTTTGGTAGTTTATGGAGGAAATGGATTAGAGGTTGTATCTCATCCACAAACTACTCTATTATCATCAATGGGAGACCTAGGGGTAAACTCTTAGCCACTCGAGGGCTTAGACAAGGGGATCCCCTCTCACCCTTCCTTTTCATCATGGTAGTTGATCGCCTTAGTCGCCTTTTGACACAAGCTGCAGCCACAAATGTCATGAAAGGGGTTGAGCTGGGACAAGAATCCTTGCATATACATCATCTCCAATTTGTCGACGACACCATTCTCTTCTCCATTGATGACGACGATGTTATCCGGAATATTTTCAACATCATAAAGGAGTTTGAAGATGCATCGGGGCTTAACATTAATCTGAACAAATCTGAGATCATCGGTATCAATATGGACGAAAATCGATTGACAGATATTGCTACCAGCTTTGGATGCAAGATTGGTAAATGGCCAAACACTTACCTTGGTATTCCTCTAAATGCTAATCCTAATTCATTAACCTTTTGGGCCCCTGTTC